TCAACAAAACTTTATTCCCTTTCGGTCAGGAAGCTCCTGAAATTAATTAACTGCTTTACTTGCATTTCAATGAAATCTTTTGTACAAGGGCTGAGCTTAAGAGCTCATTTTATTTTCCTGAAAATAAATCTATCTACCGACTGAGCTTAATAACTCGTCTTATTGGTGTAGAAATAACTCTAACTATCAATCGAGCCTGACAGCTCGTTTTCTACTTCGAGCATCGGGCCTAGACCCTAGCTGTAGTAGATCTTCAACTTGTCCGCGTTCCAAGTCCTTTTTACTGGTTTTTTGGAGATAGTTTCCAAGGTGTAGGCTCCCTTTCCTAGATCATTCTTGATCCTATAGGGGCCTTCCCAGTTTGCGGCAAGCTTTCCATCTTTCGCATTCTTGTTGCCTATGTCGGCTCTACGCAGTACCAAGTCGCCACCCTGAAACGACCGAGGTCTGACCTTTTTGTTGAACCTGGCCGTTATCAAACGCTTGGCCATCATGTTTTTGTATATGGCGTTCTCCCTGCACTCGTCCAGCAGGTCGAGTTCTACAAGGAGTGCTTCCTTGTTTTGGCTTTCGGTTCCTTGCAGCCTCTGGTTCGTCCTCCAGGAAGGCTCGCCGATTTCCACCGGGATCATGGCCTCGCACCCATATGTTAGCTTGAAGGGAGTTTCTCCCGTAGCAGACTGAACACTCGTCCTGTAACCCCAGAGGACGAGGTGTAGCTGCTGAACCCAATTGCCTTTGGCCTGAAAAAGCCTTTTCTTCAGCCCATTGATGATCACCTTGTTGGCAGACTCAGCCTGTCCATTAGTTTGAGGGTGTTCGACTGATGCAAACCGGTGTGTGATTTTGAGGTCGGTCATCAACTCTTGGAACTTTTTGTCAGCAAACTGCGTTCCGTTGTCTGTTATTATCTCGGCAGGAAGCCCAAATCAGCTTATTAGGTTTCTCTGAAAAAATCTTCGTATCCTTGCCGAGGTAATGGTGGTGAGGGGTTCGGCCTCGATCCACTTGGTGAAGTAATCGACAGCTACTATCAGCCACTTGAGTTGACCCTCCGCTGCAGTGAAGGGTCCTAGTAGATCCATCCCCCATTTGAAGAACGGCCACGGAGCCGTGATACTTTGCAGCTCTTCTGGGGGAGCACGGAGGATCAGCGCGTGCTTCTGACATTGTTCGCACTTTTTGACGTGCTCCTTCGCGTCTGCCTCCATAGTTGGCCAATAGTATCCTGCCCTCAATGCCTTTCTGGCCAGGGCTTTTCCTCCTATGTGATGCCCGTTTATGCCCTCATGAATCTCGGCCAGCACGTATTCGACCTCGCTTCTGCCTAGGCACTTTAGCATGGGCGTGTAAAAACCCTTCTTGTAGAGTTGCCCTTCTATTATGGTGAAGCAGGCCGCATTCCTCACGAGTTTTCTGGCCTCTTGCGTTTCGTCTGGCTGGATTCCTTTTTCCAGGTAGGCCACTATGGGTCCTCTCCAATCCTCAGTCTCGGTAATCACCATCACACACGTCGGCTCCAAAATGCTCTGCTGTATCACGGTGCGATGAGTTCCTGGGACCTTTGAGCTGGAAAGTTTGGATAAGATGTCGGCCCGATTGTTTTCGTTCCGAGGTATGTATTGAATTATCACCTCGTCAAAATCGGCTAGCAGTTCCCTGACCTGGTGGAGATACTTCATCATGAGAGGACCCTTGGCTTGATATTTTCCCTCAACTTGTGAGGTAATCAGCTTTGAATCACTCATTATTTTGATTTTTCTGGCTCCATGCTCTCTTGCTTGTATGATTCCGGCAATAAATGCCTCGTATTCAGCCTGGTTATTAGAAGTCGGGAAGGCCAGGTGAAGTGAATGCTCGATGGACACTCCTTCCGGGGTCTCAATGATTACCCCGGCTCCGCTTCCTTTGGAGTTGGACGACCCATCCACGTGTATTGTCCAGAAATCATCATTTCCTTTTTCCTTTTCATTGGATGGGGTTAGCTCCAGGATGAAGTCGGCCAGCACTTGGGACTTTATCGCCTGCCTGGGCTCATATGCAATGTCGAACTCTGAGAGTTCGATTGCCCAGTTTATCATTCTGCCAGCGAGGTCCGGTTTGTGGAGGACTTGCCTGATGGGCTGATTCGTACGCACAATAACTCGGTGACTCTGAAAGTAAGGTCGGAGCCTCCTCGCCGTGGTAAGTAGTGCGAATGCGACTTTCTCGAGCTTCTGGTAACGAAGCTCGGGCCCTTGCAAGGCCCGACCCACAAAGTAGATCGGCTGTTGTGATTTGTCATTTTCTCGTACCAAGGCGGCACTGACGGCCTCTTCCCCGACTGATAAGTATAAGATCAGCGTTTCCCCAGGTTCTGGTTTGGTCAGTACGGGAGGAGTGGCCAGGCAACTTTTAATATTTTTGAATGTGTTCTTGCATTTTTCTCCCCATCCGAATTCGGCTTCCTTTTTGAAAAGCTTGAAGAAAGGCAAAGCCTTTTCCGCCGATTTGGGCAAGAATCTGGTTAGAGCCGCAAGGCGTCCAGTGAGCTGTTGAATTTCTTTTTTACTTTCGGGATGCTTCATTTCGAGCACGGCCCTACACTTGTCGGGGTTCACTTCTATTCCCCGGTTGGTAAGCATGAAGCCCAGGAACTTTCCAGCTGGTACCCCAAAAGCGCATTTCGCCGGGTTCAGCCTGATCCTGTGAGCTCTCAGCTGCTCAAAAGTTTCCCTGAGGTCGTTTATATGAGCAGACATTTGCAACGACTTAACTATCATGTCGTCGATGTATACCTCAAGGTTTCTTCCGATCTGCCCTTGAAAAACGCGGTTCATCATCCGCTGATATGTCGCCCCTGCATTTTTGAGACCGAAAGGCATGACTTTGTAACAAAAGTTTCCCTTCTCGGTGATGAATGCGGTTTTCTCATGGTCCTCGGGGTGTAGCGGAATTTGGTTGTACCCTGAGTACGCGTCCATAAACGATAACAGCTGAAATTCTGACGAATTGTCAACTAACTGGTCAATGCTTGGCATGGGGTAGGAGTCTTTTGGGCAGACCTTATTGAGGTCGGTATAGTCCACACATATCCTCCATTTCCCACTTGGCTTTTTTACCATTACTACGTTGGACAGCCAGGTGGTATACTGTATTTCCCTCACGAATGCGGCTGCCAACAGCTCGTCGACGTGCTCATTTAATGCCTGACGTCGGTCTGTCCCTATCTTCCTTTTCTTTTGGGATACTGGCCGTGAACCGGGGTACATGGAGAGCTTGTGGCAGCAGAAGGTTAGATCAATTCCAGGTATTTCTGAAGCTTTCCACGCAAAAACGTCTCAGTTTTCTTTTAACAGAGAAACCAGCTCCTCTTTGAATTTCGTGCTTAGGTCTTTTCCGACCTTGGTGCGTCCTTCGCCGTCTTCTGAAATGTCGGCATCCTCCAATTCTCCTTGGGGTTCAGGACGAGGTGCCAAGAGCTCCTCCCTTACATCGAGCTCAACCAAGTTGACCTCTCTTCCGCAGGTCTTCAGGGATTGGCCTTTGGTTCCTCCTTCTTTAAGCCGAGTTGGAGATGACGGATTTCCATGATGGACTCGTAGAGTCTCGTAGTAGCACTTTCTTGACTCTTCTTGATCGCCTTTTATGGTGACGACCTCGTTGTTCATCCCAGGCATTTTCAATGCTTGGTGTTTGGTGGAGATCAGCATATCCCATTCATGAATTGTGGGCCGACCTATAATTACGTTGTAGGAAGACGAGGTGTCCACTACAACGAAACGAACCCTACCAGATCGGAACGAATCCTTCGTGCCCAAGGTCAGTTTTAGGTCGATGTAGCCTTTTGGAGGGGACGCCGCTCCATTAAACCCGACCAGCTCAGTGATACATGGCTTCAAGTCCTTCTCGTCCAAGTTCATCCTCTGGAAAGCGTCCCAGAGATTGATGTCAGCTGAACTTCCGTGGTCAATAAAAATTCTTTTGACTCGGCAGTTGACTAGTACTGCGGTGATCACCAATCCGTCAGTGTGTCCGGGTACAACCCTCGCTAGTTCCTCCTGAGTGAAGAACAGTCTAGGGGGAGCCGGCTTGCCGTCCTTTTCTTTGAAAGTTGGCCTGTCCCTTACCGACATGACCTCTTTTAGGTATCTTCTCCGGGCGTTGGCCGAGTCTCCTCCTCCTCCTAGGGCTCCACTTATCACGTTGCATTCGAACTCGGCTTCGGGAAAAGCGTCGTCCTTTTCATCGACCTCTTTGCCTTTGGAAGGTCGGTCCTTTCTTTGGTCCTTTCGATCCTCTCTCTTTGGGCTTCGACTTCGGCTTCGGCTACTGTGCTTGCGCTTATTATTTTTCTTGCCCTGTGTTCGGATGATATACTGCTTTAACTTTCCCTCTCTGACGTGTTTCTCAATTGCATCCCGGAGGTCCCAACAATCATCTGTGTAGTGACCGTTTTGGTCATGGAATGCGCAGTATTTGCTTTTATCTAACCCGAACTTGGCTCTGAGAGGTCGAGGTCTCTCGACGTTGCGTATTTCGGTATGTGCTACCTCTTTCCATATCTTAGATCTAGCCATGCTTAAGGGTGTATAGTCATCATATCTACTCCTTGGTGACCGGTCTTCCGACCTCTTATCACGAGTGTCCTTTGCTTTTTTGGATCCCTTCTGATCCCGATCTTTGTTGTTTTTCCTACTCGGGCTCCGACGAGTAGGGCTTCGTCCTCGTGATTCGACATAAACCTTTTGCATGTCCTCCACGTCAATGTATTTGTCCGACCTTCTCCTGAACCCCTCCAGATCGTTCACTGGGTTCTTATAGATGGATCTCGCCAATGGGGAATCGCCATCCAATCCCGAGATGATTAAGTGGAGGTGCACTGCTTCAGTTAACCCGTGTACCTTGAGGGCGGCATCCTTGAATCGGTCGAGGTACTTCCTCAGCGATTCGTTCTCCTTCTGCCGGATTCTTCCTAAAGCATAGGCTGGCATCAGATTCACCCTGCTTGTTGCAAAGTTAAGTCGGAAGGTCCGAGCTAGGTCCTCAAACGAGTCAATTGAGTTCCTAGGGAGCCTAGTTATCCAAGTCATCGCTTGGCCAGTCAGCGTTGTCGCAAAGATCCTGGCCTTAATAGGTCCAGTGATCCCGTTGAATAGCATCTCGGTTTTAAAAGCCTCTAAATGGGCTTCTGGGTCCTGACTTCCGTCGTATAGAGGTATCCTGGTGCCTTTGAATCGCGGCGAAATGGCCAAGTTCATGAGCCTCTCTGTGAATGGGCTATCATTAGCCTCTTCATCCTCCAGATAATTTTCGTCCTGGTGTTCGTTCGGCCCACCACCGTTTCGGTTGTTACCGAGGTTAAGGTTCTGCTCATTCTGGGCGTGCCCTTCGAGTGGGGCCGCGTTCAGTTGCCGCGGTCCTCCATCGCCAGCATTGTCGGGCTTTCTAGGTCGTTCTCCCATATTTTGATGCCGGAGGTCTTCAGCGTTCTGATGCTGGGTGCCTGCGGCGTTCTGAAGTACGCCTTCCGCATGCTGTTGGGGAGGTCGGTTGTTTGCGACCCCTCCGGTTCCCCTAGTCTGGCCTTCCGCATTCAAAGTCCTCAGTTCAGCCTCCACCGTCGCCATCCTTTGGGCATCCATGCGCTGCTGGGTCAGAAATCTGTTTTCCATCTCTTGCAACCTTTGAAGGATTGCTCCCATGGCCATGTTTGTCACGTTTGGCGGCTCACTGTGTGGAGGCTGACGAACTGCCGCAACTGTTGCGTTCAGCTGGGGTCTGGGAGTCGGTCCTCGTGTGCCGACCTCGCCGACTTGTACCTCAACCAGCACCGGGTCTGGTTCCAATTGGGGCTGTTCCGACGCGGGTTGGTGTTGAGGCATGCCATAAGGCTGAGACTGTGGTTGACGCGGAGGCATTTGGGATGTTCCCGACGTCGAACGTGTGTTCGTCATCGTGGGGTGGGAGTCGAAATTTACGGTTTCCCACAGACGGCGCCAATGTTCAGTCCTGGATAGACCGTATTGCTATATCGTAAGGTATGCGCTCAGAGATAGTGTATATCAAGTGTATACTAGGCTTACAGTCGAGGTCCCAATCACTGCGCACAAGCAATAGGCTTATAGCCAAGGGGTGGGTGTGTGCACAGTGTGGGCAGAAGTAATAAATGAGTTCTGAGTGTTTACCTGGGGTCCTTAGGCTCTTATTTATAGGATTACCTTCCTAGGCTTGTGCCTTTTGAGATCCCCCAATCGTAGTAGGATTCAACCCTCCTTCTGTTGGGATGTGATCCTTATCTTATATCCTTTGGCTGTTTGGAGTTGTTGAGATGTTGCTGATTCCATATCTCACCAGATATTCTAGTAGGTAGTTGGGATATGATATTCATATCCATAACACCTATGTATTCGCAACATGGCATAAATTGATAGGCTTAAAAGCAGAGGCGGACCTAGAGGGGGCTAGGGTGGGCCCCCGTCCCCCTAAAATTTGATAGGAAAATATTATATATATAAATAGTATTTTAATAATATTACAAAACATGTGTGAGTGGGTAAATTACTGACATGAGTGAGCGTGAAGAGGAAGCACAAAACCTCAACTGCTCAAATCAAACTTCTGAAAATTGTTCAGCTTGCAATTGCAAGAGAAGACAACTGAAGAGGAAGCACAAGCATTTTCGTTGAAGGGGGCGTGAGACTCAATCTTGAAACACTCTTCAAGGACCTCTTCACTCTTCAATAGTAATCTTCTCCAATTATTTTACATAGAAAAGCAAATGATGGGAAATTTTTTTTCCTAGCCATATTTTTACTTCATCTCCTACCAAAACATAGGCAAATAAGTTTCCAATCCCATTTTCTTAGGAAATTTTTTTTTCACCTCCTACCAAACACGTGATTAGATTAAAAAATTGTAGTGTGTTCTTCTAAATTATTCTTAACCTCTTTAAATTTCCAACAATTTTAGCTATAAAAAGAATGAAAGGACACATATAACTTTGTGGGTATCTAATTTATTGATAATTGATAACATGATTTATTTATGGGTTTGTCTCTTCTGCAACAATAGCATATGAATTTTTTTGTAGCAAACATATTTACACATGCGGATTCTGACATTTAAAAAGAAAGAAAAAAGTTAGGATCCGCATGCATAAAATAAAATCAAGAACAAGCTTCGAAATAAAATAGAAGACCAATTTCTTGATGATTCTTTGATTACATACATTAAAAAAGAAATTATTTTGAGTTTTAACACGGATTCAATTATATATGAGTTTAACAATAAGAAAATACGTAAAATAAGAGTCAAATGAAGTGATCTTAATCTTTGTAATAGATTTCTTTTAATTTTTTTTTATATTAGGTCTGTATTGTATTTCAAATATTTTTATTTATAATATAATATTTTTTATTTTCGCCCCCCGTCATTAAAATTTCTGTGTCCGCCACTGCTTAAAAGCTTGATATGATCAAGATGATCTTCCTTGGAAATAAGAGAAATAAAGGTCTTGTTGATCTCCTTTATTTTTTCTAGCTATTGAAAAACATTAACAGTGACAATTCGTAACACATTTCGATGGAACAGTAACAACACAACACGCGAAATTCATGTAGGCATAATTGGATATAGAGAAATGCTAAGATTGTTGTGGTTTGGAATGTATTAGATAACCATCGTTTTAGTTTCATAGAGATTTACCTCTTGTATCGTAGAACTGCGATAATCCTTCACGAATTGGCCTAATCAGCGTCCCAGCACGAACAATCACCTTGTAGAGGTTGACTTCTGGAAGATCTTCCATACTAGCCTCAAGAGGTGATAGGGTCTGTGTATAGGCACTATCTCACTATAAAAAATGACCTTACCTCAACCAAAAGTGAAAATATAAATAGGTACCAAGAAACTCTAGCCCTAGGCTACTTGAGCTCTTTTCATGCACTGAGCCCAATTGGGCTTTTAAGCGAAAAAGCATAAACCCAATAATCTTCCACTTTCTTGAGTACAAAACTTGAGCCTAAAGTCCAAGACCATGCAACTCACTAGTCATTATCAACTGATAATGCCCCATCCCTTGTCTTAAGCTAGCCTGGGGATCTACCACCTATTATTAATTAAGACTCTTGATAATCAATACATGATTATCTGGTTCAGTGCTATTCCACTAAAAGTTCGAACTTGCACTCTAAGATTAATAATACATATAACATATATATGCATAACCCCTTTGTAGAATGTCAATAATTGATTGATAAGTTTTTTGTTACTCAATCAATTATTTATTCTCTTAACTATGATAGTTTCTCTAAGGGGGTGTTTGGTAGGGAAATTTTTTTTAGTTACCCAGGAAAGTGAAGGTGAGTTTCAAAGAAAACCATGTTTGGTATCACATTTCAGAAAATTTACCCGAGAAAATGATTTACCTGGAAATCAGTTTTATGTGTAAATTGTGAATGAAAATTCCATCTAAGAGGGTGGTATTCTTGGATTGCTGGGAAAATAGAAAAAAATGGGTAAGAAAATAGAAACTTATATAATACTCTCAGTATTATTTTTTACCTACCAAACAACTTTTTGATAACATTCCCGAAAAATTTACTTTTCCACCATATTTCCAAGAATCATGATTTTCGGATAAAAAAAATTTCTCCTTTACCAAACGCGAATTACATGCACTTCCCAATGTCTTCAATATCCAAGTACCGAAATATATCAAGAGGATATATCTTACAAACTCCATGTTGTTTATCTCATAAATATCGATAATCAAATAATTTCACTCTCAAAATACAAATTTATTGGTCGTCAATAGATCGGCCTTCACTTGTTGGTAAATCAAAGAATGAAAACTATTTAATTACCTATTTATAATAAACTCATGATTAAGAGAAATTGCATAACTTAGTTAACTGGAGATTTGATACCTTATTACAAAAAAAGAACCTTAATCAAATCTCTCATTCATCCTTAGGTTTAACATGACTCTCAGCAAAGAGTGTATTTCCCTGCTTGACCATAGACTTTAGCACTCTAAAGCTCGTGCATTAGCTAAGTAAGATCCAGATTCATTTTGTATATGTTGTAGTTCATTTTGAACTAATTGAAGTATTCAAGCAGTGATTGTAGAAGGAGGTTAACTTTCACCTTATGTTCAAACTTAATTCATGGTCATCCGCTCGTTCGAAGTTTGCTATCATTGTCAAACAATGATCCTGCACACTTCCTCCAGTCAACACAGTTTTTGTGACCACAGTCAGCACATTCTGCCTAGTAGAACTACTAGAAGTAGCAAACATGCCATCAAGAATCTGGAGCAATTTTTCTCCTCTCTCAATCATGCTCATTTGCTCTTGTGGGTAAGCAACGAGACTGGCCAAAATATAGCAGCGAGTTGCAGCATTTTCCTTTTCCTAATTTGAAAATTGTGTCTTGATTGCCTCAGACACATCTTCTGTAGGCTACGCTGACTTAGGGGTAGTTAGGACAAAATTGAGCTCTTCATATTTCAGAACAATATCTAAGTTGGTTTTCCATTGTTTGTAGTTTGTGCCATCCATGAGCTTTTGAATCAAGATAGTAGCTAAAGGATTCAAAGACGATATTTTCTGGAAAATATACAAAGCACACAATTCACAAACAAGAAATGTAATAAATAGATTAATCGCAAGTAGATTCTAATAACTACTTATCTTTTATTGTTAACAATCTTTTAGTTTTCTTTATAAGGCTTACGTTGGGCAAGTCACTTGTAAACACTAAAATTGTTATTTGGGCCTTCAGTGAAATCACCAGAGCCTCAGTGGGAGGGTTAATAACTTTATTAAAGTTGAATGTAATTAACCATCGTTTAATTTCAAAAATTAATTTTAGTAACCAAGCATTGACGATGTTCGACTGTATAATACTTTACTAAATCTTTTGAAATTATTAAGGTCCAATCAAACAAAATTCGGTCCTACTAATCTGGTGGGGCTTTACATGACTATTTTAATAATGGAACTCGCAGGTTTAAAAATTAATATATTAATTTAAAAGTCTTCACTCATTCAATATTTTAAAATTAGAATTTTCCAATTTCCAAGAAATGTTCAATTGAGAGTAACCTTTGTTTCATTTGAAAAACTATGTAAGCAAGTTCACCGATTAACGTGCATCCCTGTGCTTATTGAAATTTTGAAATCATTAAGGTCCTTAAATATGGTCATGATAGGCAGCGTGTGCTCCATACAATCATTATACATTACTGTGGTATGTAGCGTTTCACATGACCAGTTTAGAAGACCCACAATTTACTCGCAAAATAAACAAATCTCTTAGAAAATTTTCTTAATTATTTGCCTTGTTTTTTATTATCCAAAAATAACTAATTCAATTATTAATCTAGATTTTTTTAAAAGAGCACAATAGTCATTAATTATTTTGAGAATAATATCAATATTAAAATAATTCCATAATAACTATTATACTAGTCGCTTGAAGACATAATAGCTACTATGCTCATGTAATTAACAAGTTATGCAACAATATGACACCACTTATTCTATATGGTATGTTATCACATCAAACATGTTATCGAACCATATAACTCATCCATTCATAAAAGTAAAGCAATTGTAAAAATAGACTTTAATCCATGGTTCCCTAGAATAAAATAAAACAAAAATCTCTTCGGTCCATCTCTTCCTTTCTTTTAGTCCATAGGGATCTGGTTCAAGCCCCTTTGTGGTAACCATAGGCCCAAAAACCTAAAATACCAAACTTTGGCAAGAAATTCTAAGTCAATTTTTAGGAACCCTAGCTGTCACATCCAATACGCCGTCACATGAAGTCATCTCAGAACGAAACTCTAGGGATAGGACCACCATGAAAAGAAGGACACACTGCCACTGGAAGCACCAAAAAAGGAACCTCCTCACACTCTCACACACCTCTCCATTGCATGTGAGTGAGG